TTGATCCTTATTAGTCTCTAGTGACTTTGATTCCACCTCCTTCTGCTTATCCTCCTTATCTGCTGGTATTTCTTTGCCCGAGTTAGAGCCAGAGCTCTCCATGTCAAATTTTCTTGTGAGTTGTTTCCAAATATCTGATTCCTCCTTCTTTGCTCGATGAGACAGCTAATTCCTTGGAGCTGGAGGGGCAGTCCTTAACTCAAATCCATATGGATCCATGATGACTCGATATTTGCACATGTTTTCCCCTTTGTTTCTTGATCGTTTAAGCTTGCATTATCGCTTCTTTGGCCTATTTTACGCTAGGTTGTGTTCCTTTGTCACATTTCAGGTCCTAGCACATAAAGTGAAGCGTAGGCGCAAGTTTCAAGTCAATCGGAGATCAATTGGCGACTCGGGGGAAGAAACTCGGGTATGACTTGAAGAAGAATGGATTTCTACCTCAGTTTGTGACCATATAATCATGTAATCTTGTCATGAGAAGAAAGAGGATGAGACTACGAGCGTCTGGGATCAAACAGCACCTGATTTGGAGTCCGAACGAGGGAGAAACTAAGAATCAAAGATAGGGGAAAATTCGTTTTGGGCTTCTCTGAGAAACAGAAGGGGGCCCTATCGTGATGCTAAAATCCCCAGCAGGGGATTTTTTTGCCTAGACAGGGGATTTTCCCCTGTCTCCAGACGTTGTGTTTTGAAAATCCCCGACCATGACCTAAAATACCCGACAGGGGATTCTGACCGGGGATCGCGAACGTAGGCTGATAAAAGCCTGTTTTGTGCGTTTTTGCAAGAGAGAGCTGGGTTTTGGATCCCAAACACCCAAGGGACGAACCAAAGAGAGAGAGAGAGAGAGAGAGATATTTGAGGGTATTCTGGGAGTGGAATTGGAGGATTTCTTCGCCTTGGAAGCTCGAGGAACAAGCCCGGACTTGAAGACTGATCATCTGAAGATTCTTACTGCAGTCTCTCTCTTCTCTATGGAGTAACTTCCCCTTCACTTAGGTTTTGAGGAACCCTAGCTATGTTTGTTTGATTGGATGATTGTATGAGTACTCTTACTTGATAATCTTGAGTTCATATTCAATCTATGCATGTTTTCATGATTCAATTCTGCTTTAGTCGAGATTATTGATTCTGCTTTGATCCTATGAGAGCGAATACCTGATTAGGTCAATAGAGCACCATAGATTGATAGTATTGGATCGATTGCTTTAGTCGAGGGTTGATTCAATGCTTTGTATCGATTGAGAACCTCATTCGATAGAGGGAATCTAGTTCAGAATGCCTTGATCGGTTGTTCTAGAGAAGGATACGTCCCTCTAGGCAATTGACTCAAGCGGGCCTTGTTCCTTTAGTCGAGACTCAAGGTCTAGTTAAGGATTCTCCGCATTGTGAATGAAAGTGAAACAGGTTAGAGATCATCAATCATTAATTTTGCTAGTGGCTAGGGGGAATCTTACCTAAGTGAGTTCCCAACATGTAATTATATTAACTTTAAGGGTGTGCCTACGGTGACATGCATGTCACGGTGACTTGCACTTTCCGGTCGACCTCAGTTAGGAATAGGTCGACCTCATATAGGATCCGGTCAACCTCAGTTAGGATTCGGTCGACCTCATATAGGATCCGGTCGACCTAATATGTTGTTTCAGTGTAAAAACAGTTCATGGTGCCTACTTTGGATATTCATATCATACAATTGGCTAGATGGAAATTGAAGACTAATGACTTGTTTTGAAGCTGGAGTGTCCCTCTACATATTGAAGTGATTGAGAGCTCGATAGGAAGTCCAGAAGACCATTTTTGAACCTCATCAAAAGGCTATGCCAAAACTGGGAAACTGCCTAGAAATGGCTAAGTCTGGAAACGTGTTTGTGAAGCCTATTTTTTAGCTCAATTCGAGAAGCATGAATGCGAGTTGAGTCCAGGAGCCTCTACCACGTTAAATTAGGTATGTTTTTATACAAATTCAAGGAATTGGATGAAAGATTGGATATCTTTAAGGCTTCAAACAAAAGGGTCGAAGTTGCTACGAAGGCTGTTTTTCTGGCAGACTTCGAGCACAAGCAAGCTGCCAGAAAAACAGCCTTCGTAGCAACTTCGAGCCTTTTGTTTGAAGCCTTAAAGATATTCAATCTTTCATTCAATGCCTTGCATTTGTATAAAAAAATACGTAATTTAACGTGGTAAAGGCCCCTGGACTTGACTCGCATCCATGCTTGTGAAATTGAGCTCCAAAGTAGGCTTGACAAACACGTTGCCAGACTTAGCCATTTTCAGGCAGTTTCCCAATTTTGGCATAGCCTTTTGGTCAGGTTCAAAAATGGTCTTCTGGACTTTCTATTGAGCTCCCAAGTACTTTAATGTGTAGAGGGACACTTCAGCTTCAAAACAAGCCTTTAATCTCCAATTTCCATCTAGCCAATTGTAAGATATGAATCTCCAAAGTAGGCACCATGAAACTGTTTGTACACTGAAACAACTGATTAGGTCGACCTGATCTTATATGAGGTCGACCGAAAAGTGCATGTCACCGTGACATGCATGTCACCGTAGCAAAGTCCTAACTTTAATTGTAGTTTGTTAGAGTAGTTTTAGTTCTTCCGTCTTAATCTGGTTTGCTAGATAATGAACTGAAGCTGAGTAATAGTAACTCTAGAGACCCGTGGATTCGATATTTATTACTTGAGCCACTATACTGCAGTCCCTTTCATTGGTTACACTTGGCCATTGTTAGGAGTTGTGTCATAGCGAGCCAATCCACGGCTAGTTGTGAAGGCTGTGGGCATTTGATTTTCACATACCCTATCCTCCCACATGAGTGGCAGAATAGGGGAAGCTTTTCATACTTAATCAAGAATTCCTTGAGTTCGCCTCCAATATTTAGTTTATCTTCTTCTTTAGGGGATTATTGATAGATATACTTACCCTGATTCATAGGAAGCCATCCCACATCTCCAACTCTGTTAGCTATCTTCTCTGCCATTGATTATGTTCGTAGTTCCGCTAGGAAGTCTTTGACTTGTAACCATATTTTCATCTTATGCAGGTCTACTGGAGTCGGGTTTTTTATCCACCAGCTGACCATGAAGAGCATCGCTTGGTTCTCGTAATGCCATGGGCCGTCATAACAGACCTTGTTACGATCATCCATCTCCAAGAATTGAAAAGCGAAAAGGTTGTTCCCGAGTTCTGTGATATTGTAACCCCTCTTCAATCCCTATTGCCTTTGTTAGGGCAAACTTCATTGACTTTATATTGGGTTCCTTGTCTGACAGCAGCCTGCCAATTAATCCTAGATGTCGGACAGCCTCCATCCTGACTATGTCGACATCAGCATCTTCAACCTCAAGCGGTTCCTCATCGGGTAAATTCCCTAAATATTGTTTTTTTTTAATTTACCACGAATATAGTGGTTTAAAAACTATTTACAAGAATATTGTGTTTTTTTGTATGTTTAAAGCGCCAAAGCCTTAGACTCAGGCGCTGCCGCTAGGTGATTTTTTAAAAACAAAACACAGCGGCGCCGCCGCAGCCTGGGGCTTTATCGCTTTTAAGAAGGTAAAAGCGTCGGCGCCCCAGACTAGGGCTTTGTCGCTGCCATTTTTTCCACTCCAGCACCACCCAATCACCATATATATACTGCACCTTTCCTTCGGTTCTTCATCACCAAAAAACTAAAAGAAGTTCTGAAAGAAGCTCTGGTGTTGCTGTCTGGTTGCTGGGAAGATGGCTAATAACAGGGAAGAGTCGTAATTTTTTTTCCATGTATTCATCATAATGATTTTGTCCAGTTAGTAATTAGTTAGTTTGTTTTTTATGTAGTGGTTTTAGAAGATTTGAACTAGCTGTTCGGTGGCGATTAGAGAAAGTAGAAGACAATTTGGGTGTCCATTTTGTTGGTGGTGTAAGTTTCCATATGACTATTCCATCCAGGGTGAACTATCAGAAACTTTGTGATCATCTAATTCGGAGAATACGGATTAGAGACGAAATCGTACAAGATAGTGTTGTGATTACAGGTTTCACCTACTGTCTTCCAGAATGACAGAATGGTGTTTTATTTCATTATGCAATGCCTATTGTCGATGATGATAGCTTAAATGTGCTTTGGAATTTTATGGCACAAAATCCTTATTGTTTGGGTGCTGAGATACATGCTGAGCTCAGTGAGGATCGGGATGGAGAGGAAGACGATGATGACGGTGATGACACATGGAGCATGCCATCCGATCATGATTATGATGACAGTGATGACGGAGATGAGGAAGACGATGAGGAGGAGGAGGAGGACGACGACGACGACGGTGAAGGAGGAGAACTACCTAATTATCCTCCATATTTTTACTTGCGGGGTAATGAAGAGGACGATGAATTATCATATGCTGATTCATATGGCGTAATTCCAGGGTCTACTGTTGGTGGTTTTGATGTAGAATTCTACAAGGGGCAAATATTTCACTCGAAACAAGCTGTACAGGTGGCGATTAAACACTATGCACTACAACGCAACTTTCAGTATAACGTGGTGGAGTCGTCACCTTCAATCTGGAAGATCAGATGTTTGATGCACAAGGAGGACAAATGTCCTTGGATGGTGCGGTTTGGATGTCGAGATGTGGGAGGCGATTGGAGCGTGAGAAAGGTCGAGTTGGTGCATACTTGTAGCAGTACGACTCAACCGACGGATCATCGCCATCTTGATGTCGACGTGATATCTGAGGCCGTCAAACATTTGGTACGTGCCCAACCAAATCTGAGTGTTCTAACTGTGCAAGCTGAGTTGAAAGATAAGTTTAATATGCAAGTTACTTACAAGAAGGCTTGGTATGGGAAACAAAGAGCATTGGAGAAGTTGCATGGAAATTGGGAAGAATCCTATGATTTTTTGCAAACATTCTTGCGGGTGGTCAAGAGAAAATGCCAACATCGGTGATTGATTGGGTAAGAGTTCCTTCGACTCAACCAGGTCATTCGATATTTCAGCGAGTATTTTGGGCTTATGGACCTTGTATAGATGGATTCAAGAATTGTCCAGGCGTCATGGTTGTTGATGGGACATTTCTTACTGGGAAGTATAAAGGAGTGCTACTGCCGGCGAGCTCATTTGATGGCCGGAAGAAGATTTTTCCAATTGCATTTGCCATAGTGGAGAGTGATGGATGAGGAAACCGCTCCCACGTCCAGATCATCAGCAAGGCGGACCATCCACCAAAGTCACCACCCGGTGCAGAAGATGTCGTCATCTGCAGCGCCGATCTACCCATCTCACGGTACAAGTAGGATAGCACAGCTTCTTCCCAAGCAAACCTCCCCGCTCTGCGCCAATCCTCCACCAAATGTAGGTACTGCAGGTGAACTGAACCTCCAGACCGATCGGAGAGCAAGACACCTCCCATCAGAGACAGCGCATACGCTCTTGCAAACTGCTCTGTCGTCTGGGGTGATGCAGAAAGCGGTAGCTCATCGAAAGTCTCCATGAGCCAAGTAATCCGGATGACGCCGCCACCAAGATCAGTAGGAGCCTGTCCTAACAGTCGAAGACACATAGCCGACCAGTCCTCGTCTGGTATGTCTACTACGACGACATCACTGTCGATCGCTAATCCGGTGAGTGTCGCAACGTCCTCTAGGATGATCGTCACCTCACCGAACGGCATGTGGAATGTCGATGTCTCGGGTCGCCAACGCTCTACGAGCGCAGTAATCAAACCCGGATCACCGGTAAGAGGGGCTAGTGGCAGAACACTAGACAAGCCGGCATCGACGAGATACGTCAGGTACAGTGGATTGTATCGAACTAAATTGCCCGTATGACGAATGTGGTAAGGTCGATCACCAGCCTATAATTAATACACAAAACTATATTAATTCAATTCCTTCAATTCACCTAATATTTATATTTATATATGTAAACTAAACTTATTCTAATATAATATACTCGTAACTTAATCTAATTCCATTCCTAATTTAATTTAATTCTATTCGTAATTTAATTTAATTTAATTTAATTCTATTCTATTCTATTATTCAGCTAATAAAACTATAGAAATAGTTTGAAAAAAACTTACCTCATTTGCCCAAACTGAGTCAATCCGATGCTTACCATGCCCCCAAAGAAGTTCCGGATCCATCGGAGCAATATCGATTGTCGCAGGTGGTGGTCTCATCGAACAAGGATCGATAAGCCTAGGAACTGGAAAAAAAAAATATTAGAACATAAAAAAAAAATTTCGCCGGAAAAAAATAAAAACTCTCCGCCGGCGAGAATCCGACACTCACTCCAGTAGTGTTCGCCGCCGCCGCCACGTCGCCCTCGCCGTCCTCGGCCTCTTCCTCTGCCGCCGGGCGCTTGCTGCTCGTCGTCGGACATTCCTGCGCCGCCGCTGTAGATGGGGCGCCTTCGCCTAGTTCCTCGCGCCGCCGCCTGAGACTCGGGCACCGCCTTCTTACTCTCGGCGTCGCCGCTCTAGTTTTGGCGTCGGCGCTGGGATGGAGGATGAAGGAGGAGGGAGGGAGTGGAGAGGGTATGGTGGTCTGGTGCGAGAGGGCAGGGAGGAAGGGGATAAAAAAAACAAAACTTGATAGCGACGGCACCCCAGTCTCGGGCTTTGGCGCTTCTTGAAATTTTTGAAATTTCAAACAGCGCCAAAACCTGAGACTAGGGCGCCGTCGCTATCTATACCCTTAAAAACTCGATTTTCTGAGTCTTAGGCGCCGTCGCCAACTTCCCTCCATCAAAACACAATATTCTTGTAAATAGTTTTTAAACCACTATATTCGTGGTAAAAATAAATAAATAAAACAATATTTAAGGAATTAACCCTTCCCCATCATCTTCCTCAAGGTTGATTCGATTGAGACCCTCTTTTGTGCCATCTGTGGGGTTTAAGGTTTCTTGCGCAGCTTTCTGGATAGTTGCCTCCTCTTCCTTGTTATTTGTCAACGCCATCCTCTGTCCCCTAGACGGGAGATCTATGTCGCAGAATAACTTAGATCACACGTCACACTAATACACAACTACGATATAGGTATAAAACCAAAGATTGCTAGCAACTCTTCTTCTCAAACAAAGGGGTGATACTCCGTACTCAAAGGAGTCCTCCTTCAACTTGGTCTTTGCTCGTCGCTCACAACTCGGAAAACCCTAGGGTTTCCGCCGCCACTCAAACCCTCTCACTAAACGAGAGGAATTTTTTTAAAAAAAATCATGTAATTAGTTGATGACTTCATAAAACAAATCATTTAATTACAAAGAAGGATATCAGACGAATCATGTAATCTTTTGTCATCTTGGTATTTCTATACGTTTTAGATACTCAATTATATTGACCGATCAAATAAAATATGTTAAATATCGAACAAATCATAATACAATTTTAATGATAGAAAATGATTGAACCACGATCAAAACCACTATTTTAGTACAAAATACTCTACCACTTATAACATCCTATAAGCGAAATATCATGTATTTGACATATGATATTTTTATATAATAATTACCGTATCTTCAATTAAACGGCAGCAATAGCATATATCCTCCCCATCCTACTCGATTCTGTATCAGCTTCTCATTCCCAGAAGGAGGAACAAAGAAACTCTCTGTTTATCAATGGCTGCTGGTGTACTTTGTTCAAAGAAGATGAAGTCCGCAGTCCGCTGCTTAAAACTCCAAACCAAAGGCCATATAAATCCAGCATAGACAGGCCAAGAAGCTTGATGCTGCTAAAATGAGCAACGCGCTAACGATGAACAACTCAGAAGATGAGATCTACTAATTCTAAGCTCCATCTAATTCTCCCTCCGGACCAGATTTCCTCTCCACATTCTCAGGAGAAGGACGAGACAAATATATTGATAGCAGCAGCAATAGCGACGGGGCTCGCAGTCTTCCCGGCTCTGCAAAATTGATTCTTCTTCTTCTTTCTTCGATAAACCTAATTGCCAACCATCAACAACTTGAGAACCAACAGAGGGCCAGAAGAACTCAATCACATTCACAACTTCATTAGAGGCTCAACTCGAGAAATCAATCAAAACTCGCCTCAATTCGAGAATCGAAAAAAGAGATCGAAAACCTTATGAACTTGCCCAAATGAGTTTCAGAGTGTAAGTCCTCCTACATCGTGCCCACAAGCTGCAACATCCCTACAGAAGTCACAAGTAATGCTAGGAGGGGTCAAATGCATGCAATGATGAGTCCTTTTCTCCAACCAAGCCAATCGTCTCTCCAAACTCAACACCCCAATGTGCATGATCCTGATATCGACCTCAGCAACTTTCGCACAAGAGCGCAGCAGGATGTAGTAATCTGCATGCGCAACATATCGCAAGATACCCTCGTCCTGTTTCCTCGCGTACTGGAGATAACCAAGCCTCTTGGCGTTAACCCTTGGTGGGATGTAGCAGAACCGATTCTCCTCCATGTCCGACTTCAGTTTCCTGATAGCAGTTTCTTCGGAAGGGTCGGTGTTATAAGAATTCTGGAGTGGGGAATCGTTACCATGACTGTTGGAACTGTGAGGAGAAGGGCTCTCGTGGGACATCCCTCTGACTTGCCTTGGTACTGGCTGTGTTGGGAAATAACCGTCGTCATTATTCCTTGATCTTTTTTGGTTACAAGTATGGCTGTTATGCATCTTAGCCTCTTCATCTCCAGGCTCGCAATCCTGATTCGTATATGTACATAAGCATCATAATTAGGTCAAAACCAAAATCACTGGTAGTGAGGGCATACTGATAATGATTAATGAACCATGCATACATCTGAAGAAACTTTGTTGCAGCCTAAAAAAAGACGGAAACACAACTTCAACAAACATACTGCTTCAATCTAACTTCTTAGAAATAGAGAAATGCTATGCAAACTAAATCCCACAAATTATTAAAAGATAAAAAAAAAACACCTAAGTAAAATAAATTATTTATTTACAAGTTTTTCCAATTCAAAATACATATGCATTCTTCAAAATTTCCCATAGTAAACACTTTTCAAACCTCATTTCTTTTTTAACTGCTTTTATCCATCTATCATCAAAGACTATTGGAAAGGTGCACTCTGGCCTAATCCAGAGGATGAGTTACCTTTGCATTCTGATAAAAATTCCACAGCTTCTCTATCAATTCTTCTTCCTCCCACTGGTCCTTCTGCGAAGATGAACCAGCTCCTGCAAATACCACATCATTGCAGTACCGGAGATATGATGTTAAGTCTTTCACAAATTCTGCATGCACAAAAGGGTGGGAAAACATGTTACATAAGATGATATCCAGAGAAACCACTTAACCAAAAGCAACAGAAATCTAACACATTCAACTAATCCATCTATTTACCACATGGTTCTCCCATCTCACTATACTCTGCTTCAAGGTTGCGCAGGAGTTCCCCGGAATCAAAATCCAATTCCTGAACAACACGTTCATTTATGACAAAATTTTCACTTGAATCAGCCATCTCATCCAATGGGTAGCCAGTATCCTTGTCAGCATCTCCCCTCACTCCAGAAGGGACACATTTAGATAAGCTCTTTTCCCACGCACCAAAACCATTTATATTGTAGAGCAGTCGAATTGCTACAATCAATATCGACATCACACAGACACGAGTGGGAAGTCTCAACTCATTTGTTGACAACCATAGATCTGGGGGCATTGACCATTCATAGATGCGGCAAGCATGTGGAAGAATCTTGTCGCCGGGAACAGACAGTTTATTGAGATAGCAAGACGCTACTGCATAGAAGTTCACAGGTGGCAAATTCAAACCGATCAACTCAGCTATACTAGCTGCCATTGCTTCCAACTTCTGAAAAGGAACTGGCTGAGAAGGCCTAAACATGAGGGCCAAACTTATCGGACAGGCGAGCGAGGGCTGTTCGAAACGCTTCTCAATTTCAACATAGGCAGCAAAATAGGGAATCCTCCCTTCAACTGACCACTTCACTATATCTGTTGGCAGGACTGCTTCCCTAGCAACATGGCAAGCCAAAAAACATATAGCCAAAGAGTAATCTAGGGGTATTGCTTTCCTCAAACTCCTGAACCAAACCATTATAGCTCGCTGGCCATATGCATTACGTGGTTCATTGCTGTGCCTGCCACGATCTTTACCGTCATCAGGTTCTCCTGCAGAGCATGGAGGGTTAAGCAATAACGCTCCTCTTCATGGAAATTGAAGCTACAAAAGAAAATGAAGGGGAAACAAAAACAACGAGAACCACTCCCATTGCCATTGAAAACTTAAGCTCTACTACAAACAACCAGTTACAGTCCTAGCTTCAAACCGCAGTACCCATTACAAAAAACATCAGCAGGATCAACAAATGGGCAAAGCATCATAAATGGTTTGCTTACCTACCCCAGTTTTGAGTCTCCGATTCCGTCAAAGTGTCATTAGCCCAAGCATCTTTGCACACTCCAGAAAAGGCGACAAACCTCAACCAAACAGCAGAGGCCACCCCACAAATCAAAGGGCTGACATTGAACTTCTCAACCAAAGCCTCGCACTGTAACTGAATCATCCACTGCATCCCCATCATGTACCTAATCCTCACCTCGTTGTAGTAATCCGCGTAATCGAGCTTCCCCGTGGCCTCTGCCCCAAAATCCGCCGGCTCGGTTGGGCCATTCGCGTCGCAGTCGGAATCAGAATCGCGATTCAGCTCTTTCTTGGGCGTAATCTCCTTGCTACCTTCCAGCTCCTGCGTGAACCGGTACCACAATTGAGAAGAGTGGTCGGGTTCGACGTTGGTTGGCTGACTAGGGGTGGCTTTGGTATGCCGGGCGGAGCGAACGTTGTAGAGGCCGCCACCGCCAGTTTTATCGATATCCTCATCTGCGACGCCGGTGGCATTAATTCCTTCGGCCTGGGTACCGCATTCCTCGCAGTAATAGAAACCTTCATTCTGGCAGAAGCGGCGGCGACGGCAGCACACTTGGCATACGAGCTTTATTGTCTCGGCATCATCCTCCATAGGAATCAAGCTGGAGAAGATGAGAGAGAGAGAATTACGGTTTACGGATTTCAAAGCTTTGTGTTAACGCCGCAGGGAACTATCGAACCATCTGAAGATTTGGATTTTGGCGGCGAGGCATTTTTTTTCAGCGGCGAGGCATTGGTACCGTTTTAAGGTGCTCAAGGTTTTAGGGTTGCTCAAGGTTTTAGATTTTTAGTGATAGTTAAATTGATTTATTGTTATTAATCATTAATGTGTGTATTATATATATTAGAAAATTAGGCTATTGTAGTTTTTTGTTTAATTTTTATTGTAGTATTCAAATAAGTTATATTATTTTTTTGATGATGTTATTTTTATTCTTTATTTTAATATAAGATAACAAAGAAAATAAAAATGTAGGGATTCATAGTTGGAATAAAAAACAATCTCTAGCAAATTATTTCAATAATCTCACACAAATACATGAGATTTTTTATTTTATAAAAGATAATCTTATATTGATTCAAAGTATAGATAGTTACACCTAGAGATGGCAGTCGGTCTGTTTCGGTTTAACTGAAAACCAAAAACCCGGTTATCGGTTAAACCAAACAACCCTCTATAGCTGCCGACCACCGACCGTGAGAGAGGTCCCGGTTAGCCGGCCAACCGACCGATCGGTTTCGATTTTAGGCTCGGTTAGTCGGCCAACCGGAAAACTACCTTTTCTACAAAAAAAAAATTAAAAAATACAAAAAATCTGCACCACACGTCCACACCCACCAAACCTTATCTCCTCCTCTCTTCTTCCTTCCTCCACCAAACCTTATCTCCTCTTCTCGATTTTCTCCTTCCTCCACCTGCTGCCTGCTGGAGTGCTGGCGACGATGAGTAGAGGACTTTGGTCTGCCCTTCCACCACGGCGCTGCTCACCGCCTCCCGTTAACCGAAATCCCGCAAGAAAACCCATACCCAGATGAAATTCGAATCCAGGTCTGCCATTCCTGAATTCGAATCCAAATCCGAATCCCCACCGGCCGCCGCGATGGTTGCTGCCTGACGAGGGTGGAGCTGATGCTGCCTGCTGCTGGAATGTCGACGAACGTCGACGATGGTGGAGGGGGCGGGCCGACGAGGGTGGGGTTGTTGCCCGGTTGCTGCTGGTGGAGGGTCGACGAATCGAAGTCGACGAGGGTGGTTTTGTGGCTGGTGGAGGGGAGTCGGGGAGATGAGATGAGAGGCAACGAGGGTGGTCTTGCGCCGCTGCGCGAGAAGGGGGAAGTTAGGGGTGGCAGTCGGCAAGGGAACCTGGGAGGAGGATTGGAGGGAGGCGGAGTCAACGATGATTGGAGGGCTGAGAAGAAGGTTTGGCATCGGCGATGCAGAGGGCTGGAGGCGGCTGGGGATTTGGGGGATGGGGGCTGCTAGGGTTGGGGATTTGGGGATGGGGTGTTTTATTTAGGCAAAAACGGCATCGTTTCGGCTTGCCGGTTTGCGTCGGTTAGCCAGTTTAACCGGCATCTGTTTTTCGGCTAACCGCCTAACCACGGAGCGCCTCCGACAACCGACCGTGGCCAGTTTTTTTCGGTTTCCGGTTAGCCGCTAACCGACGGTTAACGGTTAGACCGGCCGGTTAGTCGCTAACCGGCAATCGAAATGACAGCCCTAGTTACATCCTAGAATTCAGCCAGGTCTGGAAATCAAAGAAATGACTCATGGTCGGGTACAAAGAAAAGGCCTTTCTAGCCACCATATGGGCTACCCTACTACTACGCGACCTACGAACTGAATACTAACCCCAGAATGGACGTGAAAATAATGCACAAGCTCCTCAAGAACAACACCCAACTGGTTATCTCTATGGTCACCCCGATTGATCTTGTCAATGATTACTTTGGCGTCGCCTTCGAACCCAATGTCTGTAAGGCCTAGCCCCAGACACCATAACACCGCCTCCCAGAGTACAAGTAATTCCACCACCATAGGGTCATTCATGATCGGAAACTGAATCCCCTTAACCATGCTAACCTCCCCAGTAGGGTGGAAGAGGACCACCCCTCCTGCGAGTGTGACCCACTCTTAGTGGCCCCATCCCACCTACAAACCATCCGAGGAGCTCCTACTGGGCCCTGCTGCCAAGGCTCAGGCAAGGGACTCTGCGAGATGCGGCGAGTGGGCAAACTAACTCATTCCTCATATTGCTGGATAAACTGGCGCATCAACACATGGACCCCGAATTGTTTGCCTTCAAAGACAACCCAGTTACGAGAGCGCCAGATCCTCCAGCGGATGGCCACCACCGCCATAAACAAGGTTGGTTGATTAATCAAAGCTAGAAGCCTCTTAAGAAAAAGAGGAAATGTCTGACGAGGCAACCCCTCCCCCAGATAATCCATTTTGAGTTATAGTTTGTGTCACATTAAGCAAAAATGTTTGTATTGTTTGTGCAGAAAATTAAAAAAAAAATTCGATGCATTAGACCACTTTAGTGCATGGTTCCAAAAATGCAAAATTTGGGGCTAGAATTCTAAATCTAGCCCCTCCAAAAGTGTTTTTGCATTAGTGGTGAGTTCCAAAAATCTAAAATTACAGAATTTGACATTAACTCATATCCAGTTTAATGTTGATTTCATTATTCTAATTACAAAATTTATTCATTATTTTTATATAGGTACTAATAATTAATTAAGACAAACATTTCGATAAATTATTTTATTTTGACAAAAAAAAATTGTAGCTAAGACGTAGTAAATGACGAAAGCAACATTATTGGTTCAAATAGCCATGGATTCATCACATGTTTGTCAAAATAAGTTGTGTCATCAACTATTCATTCAATTTTAATCATAATGAATGGTGCCATCAACTGTTCATTCAACTTTAATCATACTAAATTATGCCATCAATTGTTCATTCAGCTTTAATCATAATGAATTGTGTCATCAATTGTTCATTCAACATTGAACATTCGTGCATAAGGAATCATTTCGGGTTTCTATAAATGAACCACCAAACTTGGTCTTTGAACTCATCCACCATTCAACCTTCTTTTTTGGAAAAAAATCATTGATCCTCCATTCTCCTCTCTAGCCACCCAAAACTATTTCTCCTTCATGGATTCCCTTGATAGAGAAGCTTATGAGATGGAAAGAGAAGATGATGAGAGGCAAAGAGAAGTTGATGATAGTCAATGGGATTACGAGTGTCAACTTGAGTGGGATCGCATGGAGATGTTCATTATGCACGCAAACCATCATCACCAACATAAAGCAAGTGGATCTCGTGGCAATTCATCAACACGAAAACAGTGAGACGTAACAAGGAAGACGATCACAGGCGCTTGATGTAAGACTACTTCAACCCAAATCCAACTTAAGATGTTAAGGCCTTCACAAGGAGATATCGGATGCCCCCTGGCTTATTCAATAGAGTAATGAACGATGTTGTTCAGTATGATGACTACTTCAAGCAAGGAACATTTGTTGTGGACCGCGACTCATTTTCCCCACATCGGAAGCTGACTAGTGCATTCCGGATGCTTGCTTATGGATGTTTGGCCGACTCTTTGGATGAGTCATGTTGAATGGTTGAAAGCACCATGCTGGTGTGCCTGAGGACATTTTGCTCGGCTATCACCAACATTTATGGTGCTGAATACTTGCGTGCACCAACAGTGGATGATACTCGTCGCCTCCTTCATCATGATGCACAACATGGCTTTCCAGGCATGATTGGTTTTATCGACTGCATGCATTGGGAGTGGAAGAACTGTCTAACTGGCTGGGCATGCCAATTCATTGGTCAGAAGAAGAAACCAACAATTGCCCTCGAAACTGTGGCGTCATACAGAACATGGATTTGGCATGCCTTCTTTGGATCGATTGGATCAAACAATGACATCAACACTCTTGGAGTGTCCCCACTATTCGATCAAGCAGTTTGAGGAATCAATCCCAAGGTCAGTTATGTGGTAAATGGTCATACGTATGATCAATGTTATTACTTGGTTGACAAAATTTATCCTGAGTGGGCTACATTTGTGAAGACTATTAGCAACCCAAGTAACCACAAGAAGAAGTTGTTTGCAAGGTGTCAATAGGCTTACCGGAATGATATTGAGAGGGCCTTTGGCATACTTCAACAAAGATGGCCCATTATTAGGGGCCCGAGTCATCTTTGGGATGTGCAAACACTTGGTGATATCATGTTAACTTATATTGTTATGCATAATGTGATAGTGGAAGATCGGTGGTACGAGTATGGGGATGTGAAGAGGTTCACATGCATTGAGTACGAAAGTAATTCAAATGTCACATGGGAGCCACCCGAGCAAAATATTCCTACTTTCATGGAGTGCATGGCAAGGATTCATGATCGACAAGGACATCACGCATTACGGAACGACTTGATTAAGCATTTGTGGACCATACATGGAGGAAAATAGTCGTGTAGTGTGTCGAAATAAAGATGTATTTCCTAAGCTTTCCTACTCTCATGTATTTCTTATGTTTTCCTTATGTATTGTCTATATTTTTCTTATGTATTTCCTCTGTTTTCCTTGTTATCTTCAATAAAGAAGGTACTTTTATTACCAATTTAAGAAAAGCGTACATCAAGCATAAATCAAGTACATGAAGATTACAAGAAAAAACATACATCAAACATAATGCAATGACTTGAAAATTACAAGGAATTTGGACACCCATCATAAAAGCAAGTACATGAAAATTACAATGAAAAGCTTACATCAAACATAAATCAACAAAATGAAGATTACATGTCGGGAGCATCTTGGTAAGAAGCCACAATGTCATCTTTTTGTCTAAGATACCAAACTCGAGATCGAGGACTCATTTAAGAAAGATCCTTATTCATAACATCACTCATGCCTATTTTTCTCCCTTAATTCCCTTGTTCTATCTCTTGCATCTCTTTCAACTTCACGTTCCTCTCTAGTGAGTGCTAGCCTTGTGTGTGTGTGTGTGTTCGAATTCTCCACCAAATTGGCCATACTCTTTTCCCAAGCTTCTAGTCCCAAGCTTATGAGGAAGAATATGGAGTTCCTCTATTCTTCTTCTTTTGCTTATCCCGACCTTCAGGATTGTTGATCACAAAAGGAGTAGGTTGAACGTCGGGGTTATCACTCTCGCCGGATGGCATGCCCTATAAAGATCCTTTCATTGGTGGGATGGGTGGCACATAGGACTGAAATAGCTCCAGGAACTTTGGACAATGTTGAAGTATCTCCCAACAATGTTGCAAGTTGAAAGCCTTTTCGGTGTCTGCCTCGAAAATATTTTTCGCTCGTTCAACCTTTAAAATTAATTTATGTATGTTTTAAAATAAGCTAATCAAATAGAAAATAAAATGCATAATAATTATACTTTTCTTGTGACTAACCACATCGATGAGGTTTTCGTCGCTCATTGGCGTCGCGCTTGCTATTCTCGACATCGCATTCCACGAACCACATTTCTTTTGTATGATCTTCCATCGATTGTGGAGGCCGCCGTCAGGACGTGAAATGCCTGTGCTTCTCTCGGCAAATATGACCCCAACGCGCCTCCAAAATTCATTCTCGATCATATTGATAATGACCAACAGAATCGTCCTCCAAAATTTCAATCCATGCGTAGCACAAAGTTTATCTTCAGATTCCTTCCAATTTAACGGCACGATTGCTATGAAACAATTTTTTTGGATGGAGAGATGATGAATATCACAATTTGAGAGAATTGAGAGGAAGAAAATGGAAGTGATGAAGTAGAACTAAAGAATTTGAAGTGTATTGAGGTGTATTTATAGGGAAAATGTGGAAAAAATAGTTGTTGGGATGCAAATAGCTGTTCGGGGCTGATTATGCAATTTGTAAAACTATTTTTTAATCACTAACGATATGAAAAGGAGGAGAATTGGTGGTCCCTGCAATTTGGAACTTCTTGGCTGCTAGTGGTGCAAATTTAAACTGAAAAGTAGCTTTGGTCCAATTATTTTGACTTTTGAAGCTGCATTAAAGTTGTTGGGGTTCAATTTTTTGCATTTTTGGATCCCCATTAAAGATGGCCTTATGGATAATGCATGCATTATAACTACCCCAACCAAATGACCCCTTAGTTTATTGTTTAGTTAATGCTATATTTGGTTCCTGAACTATGACAGTTTTCATATCGTAACCCATTTGCTATTTTTTCCCCTAACATAGTACTTCAAATATAAATATTTTCCTGTTGTTGCACTTGCAATTAAAAGGTGTTCATCTTCTGTTAAATGGTGACCCAACTTCTCACTATACATGCTAGTTAGTTGATGACTTCATCAAATAATCATGTATTACAAAGTTACCAATGCTATTTGAATCATTTTTTCAATTTCTACATAAGATAAACTAATTTGTTGATTCTGATTGGAAATGTAGGGTGAAACTCATGAAAGGGATATGTTAGGAGGGGATTAAGAATATATGTGAATATTTTTGTAATTATGACGACTTTTATGCGCATGGACCCTATGTCCATGTTTATATAGGTTCCAATTGGAGACTAACGAATTTTGAACGATAAGGGTCAAATTAGGGGGGAAAATCGGTACTTTTACGCGCATGGACCCTATGTCCATGTTTATATATTATTCATCATTATACAAAATGATTGTAAAATGGAATGAGTTTCTCGTTTGGTTTTTATGGAGAAAACCCAAACAACCCTACTGTGGTTGTCAACAATGGTGAGAAAATAAAAATAACCATTTCTAGAAATTGTATTATGAGAATCCCAAGTATCCATATGAAGTAAATCAAAGATATAAGGACTAACAAAGGTGCTAACAAGAAATGGCAACCTATTTATTTTGGACAAGTGACAAATTTCATAATGCTTATAGAAGGCAAAACAATGTCATGACAAAGAGACTTGACAACTTTCATTCTTGACAAAGTGGGGTGTTCTAATATGGCATTGCCATATATCAACTTCTTGCCTCGAAGGGCTGGGAACTCCTGCTGCAAAATACTAGGAAAATACTATGGAATCATACTATTGGGACTTGGAATCAGAAAACAGGTATATGTCTCTATTCATTTGGGCTAAACCAATCTTCCTCCAAGCAATAAGGTCCTAAACGACACATCATTTTGATTTGAAAACTAACGAGAAAGGATAGTGTTTGGTTAACTTAATTAAAAAACCAAATTGTAAGTAAAGACTGGAATGAAAGAACTTTAGTGAGAAACAATCCACATGGAAATCTTACTATCCCTACTTGAATAAATTTGACTTGATGTCCATAAGGTAAAGTGACATGAATATCTTCAATGAGTTTGAATTTGAGAAAGAAAGAGATGTTGTAGATAATGTGATATGTAGCACTTATGTCCAGCGCCCAGGTAGATTCGTTGAAGGAGTCAAGCAAGCGAGGAGAGAGTTGTTTGCTTGACGAACTAGCAACAATGTGTATTTTTGGTATATCTCTCATAACTGCATTGACATGGGAACATGAGATGAACTTGGTGGCAAAGGTGAAGGAGTAGGTGACAAGTGAGCATTATCTTGAGCTCCTCAAACTGATATGGGGTAAGCAAGTTTGTAAGGGAGTAATCAAATCTTGAACCACCAAAGCTATTGGATCCTCGATTTTCATTTACAAATGCATTGACAACACCAACAAAATGATTTCCATCATATCCATCCTTTGCATTTTGTTTTTAAGCTTGTAACAATCCCGAACAGTGTGATACTCTTTCTTGCAATACCTACACCACTTCTTACCATTTTGGAGTGTATTCCCTAGGATTTCTTGTTGCCTGTCCATACTTCCCAACCGATGTTGACCAAGTGCTAGCAGAGCCAAAGAATTAACACCACATTTTCCAGCAGTGATATCCTTCACATGTTTATCAAGTTGTAAAATCTGCTTAAACACAACTTCGATACTACGCAAATGAGCATTTATCAAGACTTGAGCCTTGCATATCGGTAATTCTCACTCAAGGCTTGCATAATTTTGATACCAAAACTGAACCGAGTCGGTCGGTGGGATATAAGACAAACTTAACGGAATGTAATGATCGGTGACTAATGGTGAAACGATTCGTAGAGTTAGTGGCGAATAAGAAAGAAAATTAATTCGGATGGCAAACGTGAAAGATTTATATGATTTGAGTGACCAAACGTGTAATTTAGCCATATTAAAACATAAGTCAAATCAGTCCTCAAACTTTTATTTCATCACATTATATGTTTGTATTTTTCAAATGGTACTTTATATTCTTGTTTATTAGCTACCGGTTTGTTAACGGTCTAAACCAATAAAGCATGAACCGTTCACTATACCAGTTCATACATCGGTTCGATTTTACAATATTTCAAAATCTTGTTCTTGATAATTTTTATGGTATGATAGAGACTATCTAGACATGGACAACAAGAAATGGGTCAATACATCCTGTATTCCTGTCACTTAGTGGTCATAGCAGAGTAATATTGAGACACTCTCAAATCACCCTAATGTTATCTTCCATACCGAATCGATCCCATAAATTATCCTAATTTTCTTAGCTAAGACTACACTATCTTGGGGAGGGTTTGCCTCAGTGTACGTTCCCGTTTTTTCTGAAAAAGTTGTTCTCTATCCTGCATCAGCCCACTCATTTCATGATGATCACTGCTATTTTCTGGAGGATCTGGAAGTCTCGTAACCGGGTTGTCTTTGAAGGGAAACAGTTTGGGATTCCTGCCTGAATGAGGCAGTATAACCAGCAGGTTAATGAGTGGCTACGTTTGCCTCCGGATTCTCACTCCGGTCCAGGTGTTAGCCAGCAGCAACCTGTGGTGACAGGGCTGTGTCTGGGGGGCCTGTGTGTCGGTGGGATGGGGCAGTTCGTAGGGGGTCGCATTCTGCTGGTGGGATAGTAGCTTGTGATGAGACGGGGGGCGTCCTTGGGGATCGGGTTGCAGTTCCCTTTCATTGAGGATCCTATGGTGGTGGAGCTTCTAACCCTCCGGGAGGCTATCTGCTGGTGTTTGGAGCATGGCTTTTCGGAGATGCAGTTTGAAGGGGATGCCAAGGTGGTCATTGATAAGGTCTGCCAGGAGGATGTGAGGGATAGTCGTGTGGGGGCTATTCTGGAGGAGATTGTGATGCTGCTGAGGGCGAATGCCCGGTTTAGTGTGCGATTTATAGGTCGGGATAGCAATAGGGTAGCTCATTTGGTAGCTAGGAAGGCCCTGTCTTTGTCCCCGGCTATATGTCGGTCTTTTGATTTTCCGGCCTGGCTGCGATCCAGGATGTAATTACCTATTTTTCAATCAATATATGATTATCTCTTGTAAAAAAAAAAGACTACATTATTTCCTATATCCTCAGAGCTCAGACAATGAATCATAAATCCGGCATCGCACAATACTATCCCATCTGGCCATCTATGCCAATATTGCCAAATTAGACGGGCCAAATTTACATGTCACTAGGCCCATATTAATATTGAGCCTGCACCAATCCACAGCTTTGAAGAGCACGCGGCCCAATCCGAACCGGCCATCAATCTGAGTCGTCCTTTTTTTTGGGGAATCATCAGCCGTAAGATCTAGGGTTGCGCCTCATTTATATTGTCTTTCTCCGCCATCACAAACCCTTTCTCCTCTGCCAGCAGCTCCATAGAGCAGTCTCAAAAAAACCCTAACAAAGTAGAGAGAGCTTGAGAACGCGAAAATGGTCCAGCGGCTCACTTATCGCAAGCGTCACAGCTATGCCACCAAGTCCAACCAGCACCGGATTGTCAAAACTCCTGGTAATCCCTTAGTTCCGGAAAACCATTCTTCGTCTTGATTCTTCGCTGTGATTCTGTGTTCGTGCCTGAAGTTTGGGTTTTTTTTTTTTGTCTGCGATAGGTGGAAAGTTGGTGTATCAGACCACTAAGAAGAGGGCCAGTGGTCCTAAGTGTCCTGTCACCGGCAAGAGGATTCAAGGGGTATGTTGGATTTCAATAACAAGTTTTCTCTGGTTGTTTAGATGGTGTTGGATTTAGCTTTAGTTCTAGCTTGAACATGATTTTAAATGATGGGAGGACTTCATTTTTTTGAAATATCTGTTAATCTTGATGAAGATAGTTGTTACTAGTCACGCGTTGATTTTGGGGAAGGCTGGACTACAGAAACCTATGGGTCGTCTGTTTAATACTACTGATTGGGCTAGTTTCTATATCTTTCAGAGGTCTATTCACATTGAATTTATTACCTGCATGTATCTTTTTGTCTCGTTCATATGAATATTAGAGTTATGGTGGTTCTGAGGCTTTGAGCTTCTTTAGTAGAGTAAACACCAGCGTTGTATTTGTCTATTATATCTCTCTTGCAATGTCACCTTCATAATCCTCTTGGGCTATACTTAGTTGTAAATGTTAGTTGCTCTTTCCCCACAAGAACAATGTATAGTCTTCTGAAGATTTGCCGCAAGATGTTGTTTGTGGAATTTTGACCATATCTACAAGTTAGGAGAACTCTAGTGGGGCCAAAGGAGCATTTTTTTTATATCGTGTAGCTTTTGATCTGGCTTACATTTAACGAACTGTCCACTTCGATCCTTCTGCCTCTGTTTTGGATAGCTACTAGGGTAGGCTGGAGATATTTGGATAGTTCATGAACTGAACTTTACTGGAGACTTCGTGTTATTTCTTTCTTGTGATTATATCTTGTCGGAGTGCATACCGAGGTATAAATGCTTAAAGCTACTGTTTCCAGATTCCCCACTTGAGACCGGCTGAGTACAAGCGGTCCAGGTTGCCAAGGAATCGGAGGACTGTGAACCGTGCCTATGGAGGTGTTCTGTCTGGTGGTGCTGTGAGAGAAAGGTGTGCTGATATGCCTAACCCAGATCTCCGTTTATGCTCTGATTTTTTGGGATGATTTGTCTAATGCTGGGCGTTAATTCTGGTAGGATTATCCGAGCTTTCCTTGTGGAGGAGCAGAAGATCGTGAAGAAGGTGTTGAAGATTCAAAAGACAAAGGAAAAGCAGGCATCCAAGTAAATTGAAGCAGGATCGATTTGTTGAAAACGGCCAGCATTAGGAGGAAATCACTTTGGTGATATGTTTAGAGTGTTGCAGTTTGAATTTTGTATCTCGAACGAATTATGAATTCCTAGTACTGCGTTCTGTGCCTTGAAACAAGTTTTGTGCCCAGTGTTTGCACTTTTTCTCTTGAACTCTTTGGCGCTTGATTTTGATCCTGATCCATTCCTTGTTATACTCGTTTTGTCACTACTGTGGGATCATAGATTCAATTCTATCAGCGTCTAATCTTGGCTAATCCTGCACTTCTTGAGGAGGCGAACTCTCCTTCAACTCGAATGTGGTTGAATATTGATGACTGGAATTGAAATTGATTGAAACAGTAGAACTATAGATTGCTCTAAAAGCTCAACCACTGAAAACCAATAAGAACTCGATTAATTCTGCCCATAACAATCACAACGAAACTCTGCAGCATACAAGGTGCCCTGCAGATGGATTTATTGACCACTGATCCTCCACAAAGACATCTTCTCAAGCTTGATCAAGTACGATCTTGATCCTGGCAACAAGCTTGTCATGGAGCGGGAGATGCTCCTTCATCAAAGGCAGTTCCTTCAGGGCGTTGACCCACGAGGTAAATGCAGGGTGCTTTGCTGTGTCGAATACAGGACCTACAGTCGCTTCAACGGCTTCGTAAATGCAGATTTTCACACCCGCCACGATTTCCAGAAACCCCATGGCTTGATGCCCTTCACCAACGGACGGAAACATGGCGGGGAAATCATTCTGAACCCCTTGTTCAAACACGGTAAGCAACTCATCGAACTCTGCAACTGCCTTCCCCACCTGCTCTTTATCACCTTTGGCAAATATCATCTTGTACACATTAGGTGCCATCTGTAACGAGCTTTCCATTAGCATCAAAACCGAGCATGGTAAATCAAAGATCAGCTGTGATTAGAGAAATTTTCACCTTTTCATCATGAAACTTGGCCCAGAAGCGAACTTTAGCTCGGTGGTGAGGATCCCCGGGGAGCAGCATTGGGGCGCTGTCTTTCCAGAACTCGTCGATGTACTCGAGGATGAGGAGGGATTCCGGAATGGGTTTGCCATTGTGAACCAAAACAGGCACCTTCTTGTGGACAGGGTTGTAACTGAGGAGCGACTGGCTCTTGTTCTGCAGGTCTTCTTCCACATACTTGTAGGCTATACCCTTCTGTTTTAGGGCTATGTGTACCCTGGTGCAGATGCTGCTTGACCAAGAGCCAAACAGCACGACCTCATCTTCAATGTGATCCTTCTCCATGTTCATTTTGTGTTGCACAAAGAGATGTTTCCTTTGAGCAACTCATGCCTCGAAGGATTTATGGAGTTGGTACTTGTTTAGTTAGTCAACCCTATTTTGATGGACAAGTGGCAACGATAAGGACAAGATTTGGTTATTCTGAACATTTGGTGATGGTGGTAGTAGGAATGCATTATACATCTGGCTAAAAGACAAACCGCGGGAATATGCTCATATGGGATCTCATATATGGGATCGCATGACATTATATGAGGCAAATTTCCTGTGGATGAGCACATTTTGGGTTATTGTAACTGGGATGTGGGATGAATTTCGATTTATCAATGGAAGATATATGTATCCTAATTTCCAACACATCAAACTCCATAATTTTAGCACTATCAATCGGGTAAATCAAGATGAGTGATAGAAGAGAAATCAAGGAAAATTATATTAGGGTGCGTTTGGATACAATAATTTGGATTTGTGATTTGTGATTTAGATTTCCAAATACCAAATCATGTGTTTGGATATTAATTACATTTGGTATTTGGATTTGTGTCAAATTCATGGGGTGATTTCCTAATACATGTCTAGTGTATTTTTTGGCAACTTCAAATACATTTCAACAACTAGTGATTTGAAATACCTCCTAACAAAAGAATGGACCTATTTGTAAAATATGAAAAGTTTAGGTACTATAGTGTGAGGCAAAACATATAAAGGTACTAAAATGTAATTTTACCATCAAAATTTCAGGACCTTTTTGTAAAATTTTAAAAGTTTAGGTTCTAAATTGTAAGAAAAAATAATTTTGGGTACCAAACTGTAATTTACCAAAATTTATAGTAAGTGACCAAAAAATTAAAAATTGAAATTGAAAATCATAAAATACAAAATACAAACAAATTACAAATGAGTATCCAAACAATGAATTTGAATTACATGTATTTCAAATGTTAATATTTCGAATACATCCATTTCAAATGCTAATATTTCAAATACCTTACATTTAAAATCCACTTATCCAAACGCACCCTTATGCTTTTTATTTAATTTGGTGTAGTCTACTAACCTTGTAAGATGATTTTGTTTTAAGCAATTATGATTGTGTATAGAGATTAAGTCGTTGTGGTTTTGATTTGAGAAATGCGTAAACCGTTATGAGGTGTGTTTATTGTGTTTTGGTGTTAACGATTCAGATTTTAAGAAGAAATGGTTTCTTGTTACCAAGATTATCGATTGAATTTCATAATTTCCATGGTAGTTTATCAGATATTAGAATGTGCATGACATTCTGGGTCCTATGAGGTCGACCATATATAATAGGCAACAACTCAAAGGTTGTGGTTCTTGTACAAGGTCAAAAACAACATCAATTATTTTAATCTACCAAGATGATGATTTGTTAAGTTTGAGGGTCGATCGTTCTTCCATGTGGTCGACCTCTTCTCTGGAACAGTCAACTTCTGATTGACATAGTCGACCACTTTGCTGGAAAAGTCGACCATTCTGCTTATGAGCCTGTTACACACTATAAACTGGTCTAGGTTTAAAGTCGATCACAAACACTTATCCAATCGACCATTTTGTCAAATTCATCATGAGTTGCAAGCCAATATAGCCATTAAAATACACACAAGAAGATGAGTTGTTTCCAGAAAAATAAACGAAGAATGTATTAACAAAAACTCCATGCCATGGCCCGTGGGTCAGCCAGACAATTAAGTCGCTACTTGTTACATAACAAGCCCATTGGCACAGTCCGTGGTCATCGATCATTCATCAGGCCTCCAGCTTTTTTATAGTGGATACACTACACAGGCCAATAACGCTTTGCATTGGGCTTAATATTGGACCCCATTTTGGAATTACACCACTGACTACGCCACTGCTTCAACGACAAACAAACAAAAAATAAATAAAGGACTACGCGCAAGGTTGTTAAACCCCCGGTCTGACCCCTAAAGAGGGAGAAGAAGAGAGAGGAAAAGAGGAAGAGGAACGAAGGAAGGGAGATGGTGGTGGATCATGGAAGTTAGGTAATTTATTTTGTGAAAAATAAGTTTTTAATAGATATATGTAAGATAAATTTTATTTCGGTCATTAAATTTTTAATTACTACCTTATTTGTATATATATTTAGAAAATAGCTAAAACGGCTCAAACCGGTCGGACCCCGATCAGACCATTAAACCTCAAACCCCTTACTTGACCGGCTCAATGAGTCAAACCGGTTTGACAACCTTGACTACGCGTCTACGCCACTTCTTCATGCTATTATTTTTGCTTCCCCTTTGTTTTTTTTTTGTATGATTTTGTTCCCCCCTTTAATCATGGGAGACGAACATCCTTTAATCAATGGGACTAGATAGTGTGACAACACCCCTTGTGTTGTTATTGTAACAACATTAGCCTCCAACCAATAGGAAGTTAGGGTTGTGATGACTTTTTATTAGCTAAGTTGACCTAGTGTAAAATCAAAACAGGGGTATAATTGTCATTATGAAAATTATGTTTAAATAATAAAAAATATCTTTTTTATTTTCGGCCCAAAATTTTGGTCGCCGGAATCCGGTCGTCGGTCACCGGAATATGCTTTTTGTCGTCGAAATATGCTTTTTTGTCGCCGGAATATGCTTACCGACGTCAGAATATGCCTATCGGCGCAGGAATCTGCTCACTGATGGTCGTCGGAGTTTGGTCAACGATCACCGGATATTGTGGTGTGCATTGCAAAATTTATGGTTTGGTTTCTCATATGTTTTTTTATGTATTTTGTGGTTTGCTTTATTGTGTTTCTGGTTTGCATTAAGAAGTTTCTGGTGTGCTTTCGAAAAAAATTTGGTTTACTTTGCGGGGTTTCTGGTTTGTTTTAATAGATGTTTGGTCTGCATTAGGACGTTTTTGGTTTGTTTTTGTGGTTTGCTTTATCGTGTTTCTGGTTTGCATTATGAGGTTTCTGGTGTGCTTTCAAAAATTCTGTGGTTTGCTTTGTGAGGTTTCTGGTTTGTTTTAATAGATTTTTGGTCTGCATTAGAACGTTTCTGGTTTGTTTTTGTGGTTTGCTTTATCGTGTTTGTGATTTGCATTATGAGGTTTCTGGTAGGGGTGGCAGTTAACCGAAATAAACACCTCCCTTACCGAAAACCGACCGAAATAGACTTCGGTTTCTCGATTACCTCGGTTATCGGTTAACCGAACCACTTTTAAGACCAAAAACTATTTTGGCTAGCTTCCGATAACCGACCGAAGTTCGGTTACTTCGGTTACCGGTTAGTGTATAACCGGCTGGTTATCGGTTTAACCGGTCGGTTAATCGGTAATCGAACTGCCGCCCCTAAACTTTCTGGTGTGTTTTTGAAAATTCTGTGGTTTGTTTTGTGAGATTTCTGGTTTGTTTTAGAGGATGTGTGGTATGCATTAGAAGATTTCTGGTATACTTTTTGTGTTTTGGTTTACCGTATTTGTGAACTGCATCAGAAAGTTTCTGATATGATTATTAGATACTTGTGTTCTATATACCAATAAATTTCAAATACATAACACATAAACACAATAATAATTCGCACGAAAAACACTAAAATACATAAATGGTTTCTTAATCCCCACCCTCAGTTAATCCCCCCACGTTACTAATAATTGCAATTAGGCAAAGTTATCACTGCCATATATCCGGGCACTCTCTGTCAACGTGTAATGGCTTCTTGAGTTATATTACCAAGCTCCTTCAGCTGTCAATGAGTACAATTTAATCTCGAGAAGCAAACAAAGATAGAGCTTCTAGGCATCTATTACAGTGTAAAGCTTCGTGTGACCTTCATCCCAAATCTGGAAATTAAAGCATGAAAGAAAAAGATGGTAATGAAGCAGAGGACACCAACATCTGGGGCCAAGATCAGGTGACTCTACTTTAATGAAGGGCAAAACTGTAAGTTCATGATTATTTTTATTTTCAATTATTAAATAATTTTTTTCCGGACCTTCTCTCCCTTCCGTCCGTCTCGTTTCTTCTTTTTCCCCGTCGGCATCCGCCATCGCCGACCAGGGAATTCCATCGCCTGTGTGCGGTCACTTTTTTGTTATGGGAATTTATTCCCCAAGTTCCCACGTGAGAGAGTTCTGGGAATTCTTTCCACCAGGTGCAACGAGAGAGAGAGAGAGAGGGAGGGAGGGAGGGAGGGAGGGAGGGAGAGAGAGTTTTCCGGCGACCGGAGGAGATTTCCCGGCGAAAGTGTTGGAATTTGTGATGTTTGAAGACCTATTTTGTAATGTTTGTATAGATTCGGTTTGTATTGTTTGTAATTTTTAGTGACATTTTGTACGGTTAGTATGCTTTGTACTGTTTGTCTGTTTATTTTGTAATGTTTGTACGCTTTGTTATTTTGTAATGTTTGTCGGTTTTTTTGTAATGTTTGTAAACTTTGTTATTTTTGTGCACCACGTTTATCATTTTTGTCAACCATGTTTGTAATGTTTTTTATGTCTAAAAAACAACCTGGTTGACTTTTGGATGGAACTCCTCTATATAGGGATGAAGCCTCCAAAGTCAACCCGGGTGTTTTTTCTAGTTCGTATGGATTGTCGGTCTAGTTTGTCATTTTTGTCCACCATGTTCGTAATGTTTGTATGTCTAAAAAATAACCGGGTTGACTTTGAGACGGAGCCCTCTATATATGGATGAAGCCTCCAAAGTCAACCCGGGTGTTTTTCCAGTTTGTATGAATTTTTGGTCTAGTTTGTCATTTTTGTCCACCATGTTCATACTGTTTGTATGTCTAAAAAACACCCGGGTTGACTTTGGGAAGGAGCCCTTCTATATAGGGATGAAGCCTCAAAAGTCAACCCGGTTGTTTTTTCTTTTTGTATGGTTTGTATTGTTTGTTGGTCTAGTTTGTATTGTTTGTACAGTTCATACGTTTGTAATGTTTGTAAATCTGTTTGTATGTTTTGTCGCTCTAATTTGTACTGTTCGTATGTTTGTAAATCCGGTTTGTATACTTCGTAATTTTCCATAATACCCAAACTACCCTTGCCATTAATTAAATGGGCCTTCCCACTTTTTAAACATCAGATTGCTATATCCGATCTAAAGGCTGGGAGGGGCTTAGTCAAGTGACTAAGCACACCCTTAGTCACTGGATCCTCTTTCCCAACATCTGCCTCATCAAAATCGCCAGCAATAACATCATCTCCATCGGGATCATGAAGCAGTTCTTTAAAGCCCATCTTTTTCATTTAACGAGTGTTAATTTGTTATTGGGCCCAAGACCTTTTAAGCCCAATCAAGGAGCATTGAAACTTGACGAGTGAACCCTCACTTCGTCTTTTTCCATTCTTTCTTTATCATTTCAGTTCCCTTTCCTGCTTTGTTGTTTCCATCGTCAAAATCCCTCAATTCATTCTCCGACTCTTTTTACAACTATAGTAATTCTTCGGCAAATGGGTCGACGTCGAGATCCTGGGAGAGGCGGGACCTGGGTGCAGATTGAGAGTGACCGAATTGCAGGTGGGAGAAGAGGTAGATTTCTTTTTATGGGGTTTTCCAAGGCAGATCCAGATGCCAGCAAAGACTGCGGCGACCGGCGAAGTGGAGAGAGGGCCAACGGTGGGGGGTTTGGATTTCTGATTGATTGTGGCCGAACAGAAGGTGGGAGATGAGGAGAGCTTCGTTGAGCAGAGAGGTCGTCGGGAGGGAATTTGTGGGTCGGATTTGAGAGTGGCAAAAAGGCGGGACGGTGATTCCGACTTCACATTGTATGGCTGACAGTATCATCTGAAATGAAAATCATGTTAACAAAAACAACCCAATCATCACCATACCAATAACTACTTAGATAGCAGCATCCACTTCTACCATCCAACAATTGCTAAGGAAACAACACCCTTTGCTTTCTGATCATCATCATCATCTCCTTCTTCGCTCAATCACAAACACCAAAAAACACAGTTCTTCATCATAACCTGCAGTGCATGAACCAATATCCTTAAAACCAACTGATTAACATGTAGTCTCCTTTCCCACCTTCAACTCACATGTCTTCTAATGCCAATCATCCTACTTGACTCGCAACCAACGTCTACCTGAGTACAATTGAGCGATTCCCTGGTTACAGGGTTGGCATTCGTCTATCGGTTCAGCAATCAAACCAACCCCAAAGTCCTGCTTTCCTGTTGATCTTTTGCACTTCTTTCGGTGAGCAGTACCGAGGGAGTTTTTGTTACTTGCCACTCTGTGGTCATTGGATTGCCATTCCTCTATCTGTTCAGCAATCAAACCAATCCCAGAGTCCTGCTTTCTTGTTGATCTTTTGCGCTTGCTTTGACGAGCAGTATTGGGGGAGTTGTTGTTGTTGCTTGGCACTCTGAACCAGCTCATGTGCCCATCGTAGATACCTCGCAATTCCTTGTACCTTGGAATTGGAGTAGGCCAGCAGGAGACCCTAGGTTGGAACACCGTCCAATGAGGTGTATATAGCCTTAGAACACCGACGTACTCTAATTCTCCCCGCTTCAGATCGTAGGACAAGGTAGCTCCATCGTTAATATAAGGAGGTTGATATTTAAAGTAAACAACTTCCGGCCTCTCTGGATGAGTATTAAGTATAGTATAGTATTTGAGATCAAAGTAAGACATTGATGATGATGTACCCGTCTTCAACGACCCTTCGCATTGCATCATCCATGATCTGCCATCTTCTTCCCGTCTCCAAACACTTACCATTTCAGTTTGGATTTCGCGCACGATTACGTGCAGAGCACCCTGTGAGATTGAAAGATCCCACTGCTTTGTCTTCTCGAAGAGTGGACAAGCATAAATATCAATAGGCATATCAAGGCAGAAAGCATTAACCGAAGCAAGCAATGGGTCACCCACTTGATCATCCTCAACACAAGACCAAAACAACTCCCCATTGCAGGACCATACATTTTTGCCTTTGAGTAAGCGATAACCATCGAGAATAAGAGCCTCTTTGGTCCACTCCCCAGACTCGGAACAAAACATGTCGAGTTTGATTGATCTCATATCTTGATAGATCGTCAACACCCGGAACCGATACTCGGAATAAACAGCGAATGAATTTTGGCCCTCATCACTTCCTCCTCCTTCTGGTCCTAGATCAAGATCACAAGAGATGCGGGGTTCACAAACTAACCTTGAGACCGTCCAACGACAACCCTTTGGCTTGTCTGGAGCTACAGGAAGTGCTAACCATTGCTCCGTAAACGGATTGCAGACCAGAAACGTTCTGACCATTTCTGTATGAGTCGTCATAAAATCCCAAAACCCGCATAAAAGCAAGTCCTTGAAGCAGTCCAGGACCTTGAGTTCTGATCGATTGTCCAAAGGATGTTGAGGAAGGAAGCTCATAATGATCGATGATTTCCTTTTCATCGGGTCGTTAGAGGGAATAGGCGGTAGTTTCTTCATAATCGTCGTACCCTGGAAGTGAGAAGCGAAACCGCGATTGAATGCAGGGCTGGACATCAGGGACCTCCAGCGCTTGCAGACGCATTTGCAGCGGCAGGCGTATCGAGGGTTGGGGAGGCGAATCAGAATTTCTATCAGGGCGTCGTCTCCGAGCTTGCTGATGGGAGGATTTGCTTGTGGACGGACTCGTCGTTTCTTACGGGTCTCCATGGATTGGAGCAGAGAGGCACGGAGGGATCGGAACAAGATAAAACCACCGGCTGGCTGAGGATTAGAGCGACGAGATGGAAATCCTAGTCCTAGATCTCCATTTCAACTACTCCGCTACGGCTGGTGGCTGGTGGCTGGTGCTGTTGTTTCTTATGGATTGGGTTTGCATTCTCCTAACCTGATAAGGATCCATCCATCCTAGTATCGCCTGCTATTCATGGGCTGGGCCGGGGCTGCGTAATGTTCGAATATTTTGGTGTCTGTTCAGGGGTTTATGATGTTTTAAGTATTTTTTTTTTCAAAAATAATTTTGTATTGATTAAAAAGAGATCAGACAAACAACAAATTACAATCTAGTATAATTTTGTTACTTGCCACTTCGTCGCCTTTCCTGGCCCGGCCCAGACCAAGCACGCCGCCGCGGTTGCTGCCGATGCCGGCACCGCTGTTGTCCCTCCGGGTTCGGCTCCCCCTCGATCTGTTGAGGCAAGCCTCCGTTGATGAGAGTGATGTCTCCTCCGCCTCCGCCGCGGGCATTTGGATGGAGATTAGGAACTGAGACGCCTGCGATGGGGATTGGAACGGGAGAGAGGACGATGATAAATCTGTTAATTTTTTGTTTTATTATTTTTATCGTCATTTTACTATTATGCCCTTGTTGTTATACTATCCGGGCTTAATTAATTAACTTAAAACAATGAGATAACTAAATAAGCAGTTAATTATAACTTCTTCCATTGATGCTTGCCAAAGGTCAGCTTCTACTTCATTTTGTTGCAATTTAACAAACAAACAAACAAAAAAAAAAAAATCGATCACCAAAACCAAACATCCCCAAAGATTAAATAAAAAACAGATAAAAGAACCTTGTCAATGTCAAGAAACATAACTTCCTAAGCAAACTAAACTACCGAGCTAACTTGTACCATAAAAAAAAAAAAAAAAAACCCCCTCAATGTCCATCAGTCTCTTGATGAACATCTAGTTATAGCACTTGGTAGTGGAAAAAGTCGTAGCAACCTGATCACTGCTACCAGGAAACGTTGGCGACGAGTAATTAGCATAATCCCAAAGCAAGAGGTTCTGCTTCCAAGCAGCTGTAGTAGTAGGAGTGCTGCAACCATCATGACCCAAGTAGCTGAACGGAAGGCCATCGATGTGCGCCAAATCGGGGCTCTTCGTCGACATCATAATCGAGGCAGGATCATGTGAAGAACCACTAATCAACGACGACGACGAGATGGCGCCACCATTACTAGTAACGATATTACCACCGTTGCTATTGCTGTGGTGAGATCCGTTACTAAACTGGTCCGCACTACTACTCATACTCTCGCGATCACCACCACCGGCCTGTTGCTTGAAATGATTGCCGAGGAGCATCGACGAAGATGATGGCATGTTTAGGAGCACGGAGGAGAGATCCGATGTGCATTTCGCCGTCGGAGGTGGCGATGAGAAGTTTGCACTACTTTCATGGTCTGCCGCCGCGGAGTAAGGGTAGGTGTGGAGATGGTAGGATGGCTTTGGAGCCAGTGGGATGATGCTGTTGTTGATTGGTTTGAAAGAGTAGAAGTCCGGGGAAGCGTAGTAGTTGTTGTCGTTGTAGTTGTAGTCGAACGACAGACGATGAATGGGAGGAAATGACGGAGCAGTCGTAGTTGTAGTTGCGGAGCTCATAAATGACTGAGTGAAGCAATTTGGAGTGGTGGAGGTAGGGAGTGCCGCTTCTTCTTGAACTAATGACGGTGACACCCAAGATTGAGAGAGCGCCCTTTGTGCCGTCGAACTCGTCTTCTTAAATATCCGACAAATTGCCCACGCATCCTGAACCCATATATTATCGAGAGAAAAAAAAAAAGAGTTACACTAGCGTCACATGACTGACTCGTAGCTAGTCCACAGTCAAGAACGAGAAAAATCGAAACCCTTTTGTGTAGTCCTTACGTTGGGTGGGATGGTTGTGTCGACGAAGCGCTTGGATGAGTGGTGGCCGGCGGCGGCGAGGGAAGGGAGGCGGAACTCGTGCATCATCCAGTCGGTCTTCATCCCTTTGGCGGCTCTCCCCTTGTAGAACACCAGCGACTTCTTGAGGCCGATGCAGTACTTGTTCCCTTCCGAGGAGTAGATGGGCCGGTCCGTCCCGGTGGCCTTCCAGAAGCCCGATCCGGTCACCCTGTTGGGCCTGGCGCTGTTCCTGTACTTCCTGTCCCTCGGGCAGAAGAAGTACCACTCTTTCTCTCCGCTCCCCGTCGCCATCTCTTTCACACCCAACACACACACACAAACTACATTAATTATTAGCTCTAACTAGTAACAATATAATGGAAAAGTAATTAATAAGAGGAAAGAAAGTGATGTGTTTGTGTTTGTGTTCTTACTCGGGAGGTCCCATGGGTCGTACTTGTAGATGTCGAGCTGCTTGATGAGGTCGATGGAGAGAGGGCGGAGCTGAGTCTTCCTCTTGAGGTAGAACCCTACGAGCTCCTCGTCGGTGGGATGGAACCTGAACCCTGGCAGCATCACCTCTTGCTCCACCGCTTCAACTATTTCACTACTACTCATGTTGTTGTTGTTAGTATTGTTGTTGCTACAACTGCTCCCACTGTTCCTCTCGCTCTCCATTTCTCCAAACCCTAGCAAAAGACAGGAGCCAAAAGGGGCAGCACCAACCGACCCTTTAAACAAGGGTATACTAACCCTAAAGGAGGGAAAGACAGAAAAAAAAGGTGAAGGGAGTTGGTGTGTGAAGGAAGAAGAAGAAGAAGAGGGGGGAGAGAGAGAGAGGGAGGGAGAGAGCAAAGGCAAAGCAATATATGGATGGTTCCTGAGAAGGGTTCTGGCTGCGAAAGATGAGCCGCCTTTCCTGGTGGGGAAGGGTTGGCTTTTACTATTTTTTTTTACTATTTACTATTACACACAAGAAGAGGTGAAAAAATATGTATTCAAATGGGGGAAGAAATGACTTGGGGGGAAAAAAAATGAATTTGGGTTTTGAGGATTGTGGTTTGTGTGTATATTTATGAGCTGAGAGTGGGTTTATGAGGGTTAATAATGAGGAAACCCACTTGGTGTTTATATATATATCAGAGGTAATGAGAGGAGATTGAGGAATCTCAAGGATGCAACCAAATCAGCAGCTCATGGGAATACTAACTCTATTAGTTATTAATTAATTAGTGTAATCACAATCAACTCATCTCCATATGTATATCTGGTTTCACAAGGAGACAAAGCAAACTTCTTCGTTGAGAGGGGAGGGAGAGAGAGAGAGAGAGAAAAAAAACAAAATTAATTGTAATGAAGTGAAAAGAGAAGAACCAATACTATTTTAATTTATAATTAATTAGGGTTTGGGGGGGTGGTGGTGGTGGTCTTTGTTTGAATTGTGATTTGGGTAAGCGGAAATTGAAAATTTGAGAAGAAAGGGCAAACACACAACTCCCAACGCATGCACTAAAGCTCAGAATTATATTCAAAGTTTGATGAAATGTATTGTTATTATTATTAGTGGGGTTGGGAGGGTTAAAATATCCATTTATAAGTTGCCTCAGAATCCGTAAATGCAGTTTCTATTCCATTCCCCACAGTTTCTATTCCACTGATCTTGTCAGGGTTCTTAATAGATTATTTCTTAGTTTTCATATATTTTTTGGTTAATTACTACACATTTATCAACAGATGCTAGCTACAGCAGCTACCTAAGCAACCGTGTAAGCTAATCAAGTCCTGAGTATATTGATTCATTACTCAACTAATTACACAACATCAATCTTTCTTAATTGTGCATGCCTGCCTGCCTGTCTGTTGCGGGTTGCAATTTGAACACGTCTCGTTGGGTATTACTCGATGTTTTGCATTAGAGAGGGGTATGAGTACTACCTCTGTCTTGTTTCGCTCCGTTCTTGAATCGTTCTATCTCAATTTGTCTCGATATCTATTTTTATTATCCTATTTTGATTAATTTTTAACTCTATTTTCACCCAATAATACTGTAAACAAATGTAATGCCTTATCCCTCAACTAATTGGATTTAATTAGTCTACCTATTATCTATAGTTTCATTTATAAACTATTTTCTCTTCGCTTTATTTTAAAAAGAAATATTTTCTTCAATATTATATAAGAATATGGGTCGATCAGTCGACTTATTCTCAACCTGTCTCCTCACATGTATTATCCGACCTAATCCGTACTTGATGTGAGAGATGAATATGAATATTGAGATGCCTGCTACTATTCCCATCAATATAGTTTGTGTAATTAGCTAATGACCAGTTACTTTGCACATAAGACATAACATAGTTGAGGGGTATCTTTGTTGACCCTCTACGTACGTACACATCTTTCTTTCAGGGCTTTTTGTGGGAATGAATAATTAGATTGCTATTTAACTCGATTCCATCAATCCAAATAACCAATTGACTCATATACTAATTGGAGTCTTTTCTTTGACCGACCGACCGAATTAGGCAGCAAAATTAAAGTAGCTACCTGCGGCAGCTTATTTTGGCTGTAACTGTGTGGCCTTTTCGCCTCTTATCAACCTTCAATATAAAGAAATTCACAGTAACGTTAATTTTCTTCATCCTCCTGGACATAAAACAGAGGGGAGAAGTCTTCAAAAGTACATTCATAATGAATGTGACATGCTAGCTCCAAAACAAAATCCGCATAATGTTATATTATATATATGTGGCTTGTATTACTAAGAAACAGAAAGTTAAATGAATTCGACTTCTGAGCACAACTATGCTCTGAAGTCAACACTACCACCACCGGTAGGAAACAAATTCAGGGCTTTTTTGGCTACTAAGTGGGCCACTCTATTATTCTGTCTACCTACAAACATCACACTAAAACCATCATTGGTCTCCAACAGTCGGTGAATTTCTTGAATGATTGCTCCCGTCCGCGCGCTCCTAGTGATTCCTGCATTAATTTTGTCAATCACCACCTTAGCGTCCCCGAAGAACCGGACCTCAGAACTTGTCGCCCTAGTGATTCCTGCATTAACTTTGTCAATCACACCAACGCATTGCATCACGGAGAGCCATCACCTCCACCAACATTGGGTCCACCATACCATTGTAACTTGTCCCCCTCGCCATTAAATCCCCCCCAACCTCATCCTGAAGAACGATCTCTACCGATCCATGAGACTCTTGAGAAATCTCTTCGTCGAAAGAGCACCTGTTCCTACCCGTAAAGAGATCCGGCCCCCCAACCTGCACAATCGGAGTGCCAGTCGGCGCCCACCCTGTAGAGGTAAGACTATCAATCCATTCCTGCACTTGAAAATTAAATTGCCTCTCCAACACAGTAAAGGTACCCTGCTGCCCCTCAAAGGCCACCAAGTTCCTAGATTTTCAAATACGCCAGAAAAGACAAACCAAACGAACCACTCTGGCTGAAGAAGAGTCTTGTTCCAAGAATTGACGAAAGAATGTAGAGAATGCTACACCGAGGCCGACCTCAAAGTCCTCCCTCAAGCCTGATACCCCCCACAAAGCCTCCGCCACCGGGCAAAAGAAGAATAGATGCTCTATGTTTTCTTCCTCCCCCTAGCAGATCAGACATCTAGGCAATACCAAGACCTTTTGAATTATTAAAGTAGACATTTTTTAAGTTTGTTGATCATATATATGATTGCACAAAAAAAAAACTGTTACGACTTAATACCGAAACAGAATTTCTAGTAAGACAAGCACTTCGCCATAGAAACCAAGAAACAACGTTGAATATTAGGTATCATATAACTAGGGATTAATGATGCTGGATATGTTCACGATACTCATATACATGGGACACACTAGGCATTCAATTCTATTGACAACTATAAATACTAAATTCGCCATATATAATGAAGAAAAGTTCCAACTAAAATACTAATCCGGGGGTGGCCAAGGATTTTCCATTCCACAATCAAGTCAGGTAAAAAATAGTGCATATGAAGTGTGAGGTGTGAGGCATCGGTGTTAGATTTTTGTAATGGAATCAAGTCAGGTAAAAAATAATGAAGATAAGGTGGGGGGTGTTGGTGTTAGATTTTGGTAATGGAATATGTTATGTAATAGCGTAAAACAAAATCAACAACATAGCGTATACAAATAGCATGCTTTGAAACTTTACGATAAGTTCAAACCTTTTGAAGAAGAGGGAGAATCCAACTTCTTGTCTAGTGATACATGCTTAATTATACTTATTTATCATCTTGTGTATATTGATCGTTTCTTGGTTATTTAGTTTGAGAACCCCATATGCTAAGTCAATTTTAAGTTAGGTTATGTACTTTTGTCATACTTCAGGTCCTATCACGTGGATGAGGCTTAGGAGCGAGTTTCGGACAAGTTTGGAGGTGAAAAAGGGACCAAAAAACCAAAGAGAGAAGTCAAAACTAACAGAAGCTAAGTCACGGCCGTGAATTTCCTCCCCTCGGACTGTGAAAAATGAGTTGAAAGTCACAAACAGTCGAGCCAAAATCACGGTCGTGTAATGAGTAGTTGAGACATGGGCTCCAAGGAAAAGTCATGAGCAAGCATTAAAGAATCACGACCTTGACTTCCCTCGAAGCAAATAAATGAAGCAACATGTTTTAAAAAGTCACGACCTGAAACCCAAAAGTCACAGTCGTGACTTTCAACCGTGAATCGCCACCCTCGAGTATAAAGCGAAGGCTACAATTGGAGCTTGTTTTTTCAGACAAAAAATGGAAAGGGGGAGATCCCTAGAGAGAGAGTATGACTTGGGAAGTTCTTGGAGCTACTTTGGTGAGATTCTTCACCATTGGAGTTCCAGAATCAAGCTTAAAAGTGAATTGAAGATCGAAAGAAGAATCTCATCATCATCATCATCATGAAGTCTTGTCTCTTCTCATATGCATTTCCTTCTTTATCTATGGAGTAGACTCCCTTCTCACTTGGGTATGAGGAACCCTAGTCTTGATTGTTGAATTGGTGGTTGTAGGATACTTTGATTCGTTTGAACTTGTAGTTTATATACATTAGATGCGCATTCATCAAAATTGTTTGAGCCTTGATCCTGTTCTTACGATTTCTGCTTTGACATAGGAGAGATAATATATGAATATATTTATAGAGAAAACATCGATTGGAAGTAGATCGTCGATGACATAAGAATAAGTTGATTCGTTGCTTTGTATTGAATTTTAATCCAATAAAAGGGAGTCTAGTTTGAATTGCCTACATATAGTGTCTTAGCTTATGATAAAGTACCTCTAAGCAGTCTATTCAAGAGGGGTTTGATTGTTTTAATTGAGATTCAAGGCTTATTACAGATTTTCCGCAACATAAAAAAGAGTGAAAATCAACACGAGGATTATCAATCATTAATTCTACTAGAGAGTAGGGGGAATCAATACCTGAGTGACCTCTCTCTCCATTTGAACTTAGTCAAATCAATCTCTCCTCTATTAGTTTTTGTTGTTTCAATCACTTGTTCTTGAACCCGATTCTTTTAAAGAATAGACCAAATATGAGTACTATAGTAACTCTAGAGACCCATGGATTCCATAAAATAAACTTGAGGGTTAATTGCATTGTTGG